TCACCGCGACAGCCCTAGTGGTATCGGCGTTTGGTATCGGGGCATTTTAACGAGTACGAGTACAGGAGCTCAATATCGGGCCGATACCGATACCAGTATCGGTGCATCCCTAATATATATACTGTATATAAACAAATATGATTTTTGTCATAATCATGCAGTCCTAGTGCCTACTACTAATTACGCTATTGTAAAACCACAACAAAGTGTGTGAAGTACCTATGATGATTCTGGAAAATGAAAGCTCCTGTCCATTGTCCTGCTGGTACACCATGGATACAAATGCTCGGTTAGCTGCAGGTTTACCGACTGGAGCTCCATGAATCAAATCCTTCAATGTCTTCACACGCAAGTTACTGGTCTTCTCTGCCAGAACAAAGCTGATAGCATCCATGAGATTTGATTTGCCTAAGAATAAAAAGTTTGCATTAGATAAACATCAAAAAAAATAAATAAATTTAATAAAAAAAGCTCAGAATGCAAAATATAACACACTATTACAGACAGATGTAATTCAGCACAGAACAAATTTAAAAAACACTTTAGACATTTTTTTTTATCTTGACTCCACACTGACAATCCTTGACTTTGAATATTCTCAAATCATGCTGGAGAATGATCAAGAAATTTGAGGCAAATAAGATCGTTTTTAACATTGTGATTGGCTGCTACTATGGGGTGTTACGATTCACAAAGTCATGGTTCAGTATGCTTTTGGTACAACGGGGGCGCAAAATAAGTAGGTGCACTTTCACTGCATCAGCCATAGTGTGAAATCTACAAACCAATCGATCGCCAAGCAAACAGCTAACACACACACCGCCCCTAAACACCTGTATTCTGGCATTTAAGGAAATGTAAACAAGTCTTTTCTTCCTCCTTGGTCACATAATGGAAGTCCCGCAAAGTACCACAGCTGGACCAAACACTCATTACTGCGCAAATACAGAACAAGGGGATGACAATAACAACAACTGACAAATAATCAATGTGAGTAAATTACTCGCATATGCAACTTCAAATCTGTCATTAGCAATTGGTTAATACATTGTTAGTTTTTGCTTAGGCTAAGGATAAGTTTAGAACACATATTTTCACTTGCCTATGCTTGAAGACTCCGACTGAGCGCTTGAGAGTTTTACTCTGTCTTTATAGTTTACAGTTTCATTAATATCTTATCAGTACTGTTGTTGTTGTTTTTTCTTTACAGGAACACTGAATAACCAAAAATTACCACCAGTACCACCTCCATCCCCAATATGTCAATATATAGTCATACATTTTCATTCATACATGGTTACCAAGTTTTCTGTCTGATAAACCACGATAAAAAGTCCCAACGGTTAGCATTTATATTTCAATTATCATTAAAACAGTATTTGATTATCACTATTTGAAAAACCCACGGTAAATCCTGCTTGGAGTATCACAGCGTTAAAAAACATACAAAAACCAAATTAAAAACAGCATTAATAATGGTCTTTACAAAAGTTACTAACACGGATTGAGGCTTGTTAAAAACAAATTTGCAAAAGTTAGTAACAGTCTCTCGCAGGCTGATGGGCTGAGAGAAATGTGTCTCATATATATATATATATTCGATCCATAATTTTTTTTCGAAAAATAAAAACACTATTAAAGTGTTGCTTTGCTGTCCGTAAATGCAGGGAATCTATGATCAATCCTGAGCACGCAAACTAAAAGTCAGTTGGGTGGCGCTGTGGAGTATGATAACAAGCTGATTGTATTTGAGCGCAAAATGTCATCGTCTGCTTCGCAAAGTTTGGAATTACTTTTGATCAAATGAATCAGTAGGGCTGTGACGGTGGCAGATTTTTACCACCGCGGCGGTAATGGACCAACTACAGCCGGTGGCGCGGTGTTGATATATCTATTATTTTTTATATTTATTTTTTCAGTTTAATGCTTTAAAAATATTTAACGCAATTAACGCAGGGACAGGACTAGGGTTGGCCACCACTCACAACTGCTGCTTCTGTCAGTTTTTCTCTTGACAAGAAGTGCATTTATTCAGTCGCAGAACAACTGAAAACGGGAGACGTTTCGGACACGCGCTCCACTCTACTTCACGCCAGGCGCGAGTCAACCGAGCGTGGGAAAAAAAAACGGCTCTTCAATTGAACGCACAAAGGCGCCAGGCGCGGTGTAACCTGTATCCTTTAAAGTCCCTGTAAAGTCAATTCTGAGAATTGTTTCTGAATGCATTATAAATGTTACAAATGTATTGCTGAAACACATTACAAAGACTGTGAACTATGTAGTACTGAATAGACCGTTAAACAGTTTTTCACCAATTCTGTGTTCAAAATTTTTTGGCCAGGGCTAAAAAGGGGGTTCGATGACGCACTGGAGCCCCCGAGCCATGGCCCCTCCCCTAACACTATAACTAGAGCACATTCGCATCAGTTCTCCCGCTCAATCGTGAGTTGTCAGTACCGTTAGTAACACACAGCCTACACACACACAGCTAGTCACTGAAATGCTGAAATGCGTATTTCCTGGTTGCGATAACATACAAAACATCGAAGCTCAGTGTCCTTATTTAAATTTCCTAATAATGATTATATCAAAAAGAGTTGGATTAATTTTGTGACGAGCCACCTTGATGGAGAGCTGAGGATCACCCCCAAAACCCACCTCTGCAGTGATCATTTTACACCGGATAAATTTATAAACTTTCATTGGAGACAACTGGGATTCACTGATAATCCGCTGTTACTGGTAAATGGGGCCGAACCGACTATTTCCCGCCTCGGCCTTCATCCTCCCGTCCCGCCGACAACTGGTGCCATCGTCGGCAGTACGTGCCCACCAACTACGTGCATGCAATGTCGTGGTCAGTTAAGTCATAAAGTTACCAAAAGGCGATTAAAGCTGCCTTAAAACTGAGCATGCATGTAATATACGAGTCACATTTAAGAACATGTCTCTGAAATGGTTTTCAAAACTGTCCTGGAGCAGCCCAGCACTGTCTCACTCATCTAACACACCCGATTTAACTCATTAATAGAGAGTTTAAGACCTGGGGCAAGTTCAAGCTCAAACCTGTGCGCAACGTTTTGCTACGGTTTCCAGGTTGAATGACATGTTTCCTGGAAACGGTGTGCAACGATGTTTGGTATAGACACTGATTAATATAACAAAAATACTATACATATTTATATATTTTGCTATTGTATTGTGGAGTGACACTTTCATAAACTTTTCTATAGGCTACTCTTCTGATTATATAATGGTACATATTACAATATCATAGCACAACAACAGTGATCAGCAATAATGATAAGCCTAATACTCACAATAAAAATAATAAGGTCATATAGATCATAACACAGTCTCAGAGGTAAGAAGTGGATTATCCTTCACCTGAAATGTTTGTCTTTTCATCCTGAAATGCGAGGCAAATGTTGGATCACAATAATTAGGAACCACAGTTTCCACAAATCCCTTCACACGATTGGGATGTTCTTTTATTTTGGACGGAAAGGGCAATGATGGTAACAGAGAGCGTATTTTGCAGTATTAAACACGTATTTATACCGATTTCATCAGGCTCCGAAAATTCTTCAAAAGATCACAAAGAATGGCCTTCTCAGCTGCCATAGTTGCAACTATTGCGTCATCAGAACAGGGTGTTCAACGCACCACCGTTACCGTTTTGTCGGGGCTGAACGCAGCCCTGAAGTGGATCAGAAAAGGTAAAAAGAGTTGAGAGAAAATATGATGCGTGTCAGATCCGCGTCACGTTCAGCAGCAGCAGCTCTTAAAGAAATAACAGCCAAAATAACCTAATAACCAGCTGCTGTGGACAAAGAAAAAAAGAGGAAAAAATAACATATATTTAAGGATGATTCATCTATATTTAATTTAGTGTTTGATAACTTCAATTTCAATTTCTGTATATTTCTGCTGAAGGGCACAGGTGAATATGACATTTTTTATAATGGGTTTATGTGAAGATTGTTTCAAGTTCACTTAAATTAGAAGTTATTTTTTAAAGTCTAATCAATGTTAAAATTGATAGCTCTCAATTATACTGCAATGTTGAATGGCTATAGTCAATGGTTAAATATTGGGGGGGGGGAGCAATTTTATAGAGAAATCAGTATTGGTATCATTGATACTGGCCTTCAGTCATAAAAAGAAAGAGAAGTAAAAGTGAGGGGGGGGGGGGGGCAATTTTATAGAGAAATCAGTATGGGTATCATTGATACTGGCTTTCAGTCATAAAAAAAGATGCCATTAAACAAATATTTTAAATATATACTCTTTATGTTGTTTTTACATTCATTTGAAAATTGCAATATAAAAGTATATTTAAAAACTTTAATGTTAGGTGGGATTAATCGCGATTAATTTCAGAAAAATGTGCGATTAATTAGTTACATTTTTTTCATCGATTGACAGCACTAATATATATATATATATATATTAGGGCTGTCAATAGATTAAAATTTATCTAATTAATCACACCCTTTTTCTGTGATTTATCGCGATTAATCGCACACTTCATGAAATTAAGCATAGACCATTTATCTTCTTTCAAATGTTTATTTTGTAATCATTTGCTACATCCAGAAAAGTAAACCAAAAGACTGAAGGGTGATTCTCAAACATCTATATTTTCTGCAAGCTTTTTTTCAAGATAAATTTAGATGACTTTCCAAAAAAGGACACTTAGAAACTCCAAAAGGACACCAAAGAACCAAATGATATAAAGAGCCCATATAAGCACATATTAAAGAAAAAAAATGCTTTAAAAAAAATTCAGAATTGTATAGTACGTGTACAGTGCAACAGCAAATAACTTTTTTACATTTTAGAGAAGTCAAATTGCGATACCGAACAGGACCACATGGAGATGCCAAAAAAACTCCTAAACCAACCACCTGCTGACTGCATATATCTATTACAGTACACGGATCCATTCAGAATAACTAAACACAGCAACAAACACATGACAAATAAAAACATTATCATGAATGTGTGTGGAAACAACGTGAATGTACGGAAATGTCTGTGCATAAATACAATGTGCGATCAGTGCGTCAAGAGCACTCATACACGCATTAAGTCAAGTCAAGTCACCTTTATTTATATAGCGCTTTTAACCATACAGATTGTGTTATTTTAAATAAGACAGAAATATTTTTTCTACAACAACAACAGTAGTGTTTACAACAGGCAAAACCACCATACCCTGTAAACCATACCCAGAAACTAATTCCGTTTCTATTTTCAGAGTGATTAAGAGGTGCAAAGAACATTTTTTTTTTACTTTTAAACTTAAAATGGTCTTTTCTGTTCCGTGTCTCTTTTTCAAAACTGCGTCACGGGATTTAATTAGGAAAATAGTGTGTCATTAATGCAAAATGACAATAGTAAAC